AAATCCCATTATCAGCCAAGAATCTATTGGTTTGACTATCACTACCAATGCCTTTTCTCTCTGGAAACATGTCTGTCATCTCTCTCTCTCTCATCTATCTATCTATCTATCTATCTATCTATCTATCTATCTATCTATCTATCTATCTATCTATCTATCTATCTATCTATCTATCTATCTATCTATCTATCTATCTAAACAATGGACAGATTCTGGCAAACAGATCTAGCAGTCTGATGCATGTATTAGCATAAAAATATAGGTAGCCTCACAACCTGTAAAATGCAATGTCATGTGACCATATCATTTAGCAACAGCAATCCCAGCAGTCCCCATTGCCACTGTTAAGTGAGGATTGCTGGTCATTATGTGAAGACTTCATATGACTGAATTCCTGCCAACTTTCCACAAGCAAAGCCAATGAGGCTGCAAGTCCTGGTCACAACAAGCTTTTCCTTAGGCAACTCGAAATCAAGCTGGCAAGCAGGTGGATGCTATGGAATGCGGGGGGGGGGGGAGATCCTGTAGCACAGTGTGAGCAGCAGGCATGTGGGTAGGTGCATTGAGATGGGGTCTAGGACAAAAACCAGCAACTTATTGGCATGACGTATGACCTCCTTGCTATTTCCCCATTGCTTGTGGGAAGCCAACAGAGAAGGTTGCAAATGGGAATCACATCACCACAATATGCTGCAGCTGTTGTAAGTGGGGGTGGTCACCAATTGCCTGAATTGTGATCACATAAGCTCAGGAGTGCTGTGATGGCCATAACTTTGAAGGCTAGTTAGGAGAATATGGTTTTCTCCTAACTGGCCTTCATGGGGGGGGGGGGTTGGTTTGGTTTTTCTCCCCCTTTTCTTCCATTCATTAGAACCAGCATATGATGAAAAAGACTAATTACAATTACATGGGAGCTTGCTTTGCCTGAATGCCTTCTTGTAATATTCCATTCAAATGTTTTTAGATCTCTGATTTGCCATTTGGGACCAATTTATTTAGTTCTTTCATCCAGATGGTTAAGATCACACAAGGACCCACAGAACAGAAATGGTTAACTTCAATGCTGTGGTAGATGAGATCTTGTATTGTTTTGCACAGTAGGAATCTTGCTGTACAGCAGAACATATTGTGTTGCTCTGCATCACTGTCAGATTTAGTGAGTACCCCATCAATGTTTGGAGGCACCCTTAAAAGAAAATGTACTTAAAGTGTGAAAATGCTACTTTTCTCATTTAGCCATTTTACATACTCAAAGGCACACAAGATTGTTCTTCTAACTGTATGAATATTCAGGATAAAGTAGGAATATTATATATTTTAGCAATCAAATAAATTCTTTATTACAACCATATTAAAAGTATTTTAGACTTTGATATCCAGGACACTATCATTGCTAAGAAACACAAAATTAATTTAGAGACTATCTAAATTTATAAAACAATTTGAACTTAGTTTTGATTTATTAAAACAATTTAAGCTGAATTACAGTTCTATAATTACAAGAAAGCTCATGTTATATTATCAAATTCTGCTTCAAATTATCAACTTTTGCTACAGGAAGTTTGACTGGATCCTGAATAAATTCTGATAGCAATATTAAAATATGCATATAATTTTCTGCTAGTAGAAAAGACAACATAGACATTTACATGTAAAAATAAGCTGTACTTACAGAATGAAACCTCCAGTTCATGAAAAATTTCAGAAAAAAAAATGTCATTCTGCATCAATTAATATATCCTACAATCGGACATTGTAACATTTAAACCTGGAACTATATAAGGCATGAATAGAAATAAATTAAGATTAAATTTTTATTTAATCGAGAAGAGTTCTAGCTAATTATGGCTAAAATTATCCAAACCTGGGAAAATATGTCCATCACCACAGATTTAACTGGCGCAAAGGAGTCTTTGGATAAGAAGTATCCACAAGCTATGATCCAAGCTTTAAGAGTAAATAAATGCAACTATTCATTATTCTCGGCTTATCCAACTTTAAACCATGAATGGTCCATTATTTGGAAGTATTTCTATCTTGAATGATTAAATTTGACTTAAATTTACATATTCAAGAGGTAAGAAAAACATGAAGTGTTTATTGGCATTGTTTTAAATGAACTGCACAAAAGGTAGCTCTGCATTTGATCAAAATA